TTAAATTTTATCATTAAATATTAAATAATCAATGTGATATAACAAAATAATTTAATTAATATATCATTATAAAATGAAATAATTAATAAATGATTTCATAATAAATATTAAATTCATGAAATAATGAATAATATAATATAAAATGATAAATAAAAATAAAAATGATAATAATAAATAAATAATAATACAAAATATAAATAATAATAAATATAAAAATGATATAATACAAATATAATAATCAAATCAATATATGAATAAAAATAAATAATAATAATAAACAAATAATAAAATTGAATATATTTTTTATTAAACAATCGAATAAATAAAATAAATAAAAAATATAAATAATAACAGAATAAGAATAAAAGAAATATATAAAATAAATAAAAATAATAAAAAATAGATAGAAAAAGAAATAAAAAAATAAAATATAATAAACATAAATTAATAAAAGAATAATAAGAAAAGATAAAATAAATAATAAAAATAAATAAATAATAAAATAATAAACATAATATTTATATTAATAAAATACTAAATGATATAATTAATAAAATCAAATATAACATATATAAATGATAAATATGATAAAAAAGAATAAAATAAACACAAAAATAAGAAATAAAATCAATACAAGAATACAAAAACAAATATATTCAACAAAAAATGAAATAATATAAAAAAGAAGAGAAAAGAAGAAAAATATAATATATAATCAAATATAAATATTATATGATTAATATATAATATGTAATAAATAATAAATAATAATTTCATATGATATAGATAGAAGATATAAAAAATAAATAATAATAATAAATGATAAAGAAATAATAAGAGAAAAGAAATGATATAATAATAAATAAAATATATAAATGAAATAATAAATAAAATCAATATAATATAAATAAAATAATAATAAATATAAAGAGAAAGAAGATATAAAATATAAAAATATAATCAAAATAAAAATAAAATAAAGAAATATATTAATATATAATAAATTATATATAAATAAAAATATATTCATATATAAAATAAAATATAAATAATAAGAATATAAAACTAATAAAATATGATAAATATAAAATATATAGATAAAATGATGATATATATAATATAATATAAGAATAAAAATAAATATAATAATAAAATATATAAATATATAAAAATAAAATACATAAATAAAATAATAATAACATAATAATAAAAATGTATACATACATTGAATCAAATATCATTTCTGAATTATTTATATTTCATAACAATTTACCATAAAATGATATAAAATATAAACAAATATAAATGAATATAGAATGATTATTTAATTTACTTTTTTATTTTTTTTTAGGAGGAAAATAATAAAAACTATTATTTTATTGATGTAAAATATTTTGCCCGAAAACAGAATATTCCATTATGCAAAAAATATATTACACTATTTTCATTTGAGCAATTTATTTAGATGCATAATTTCTTCGCTTATTTTGTTTCCCGAATATAAAGAAGAATATAATAATAAAATAAGATATATTCATTCTTATTCTTTGTTATTATTATTTTATATTAGATGATATTTTATTATTTTATATTTGTTTATATTGTTTGTTTATATTTTATTATTATTATTTATTGTTGTTTATCTTATATCATTTATTTATTATATGTTGTATTGATATTTATCATTGTTAATATGAAATGAATAATAATGAATAAATATAAAATAAGAATAAAAAGATATAAGAATATAACACAAATAATAAAATAAGAAATATATAATAGATATAAAGATAAAAGAAGAATAAAATAAATAAATATAAAATAAAATAAATAAAATAAAAAAGAAATAAAAAAGAATAAAATAAATATTTTATTATATTTTTATTTATCTTTTATTCTTATTTCTTTTTATTATTTATTAAATTAACACATTGAATGTGATTATTTCAAATGAAATAAAACAAGAATGAAATATGAATATTTTTATATTCGTCATTTTATTTATTGATAAATGAAATGTTTATATTCATTTATTGATTTTATTTTATATTTTTTTTTTCGTTTTATAATTCAAATAAATAATAATGAATAAAAATCATTTCATTTCAATTACAATAATTCGTTCTGGTGTGAAAAAGTCTGGATATTGTTTTCCACAAAGTGGATTTGATATTCCTTTATATTCAAATGAAATTTGTTTACAATATGATTGTGTTTTATAATTTTCTTTAAAAACAACAATATCAGCACCACCTCCAAATGTAAACAAATAATCATAACTTGATTGATTAAATAAATAAATTGCATATTGTGGTTGTTTAATATCAAATTTCATCATTCCTTGTATTCTCCCATTTGATTTTAATGAAAATAAAAATGATTTTGGATCATTTATATATTCACCAATTTTATCAATTTTTACATTAATATATCCTCCAAATTTATTTCCATTTGTATCTTCAATAATAATTATTATATGTTCTTTATTTATTATTCTTTGTTCAAATATTGATGTATTAATATTCCAATCATCAATATCTGAATCAAATATTATATTGGATACTTTTCTTGATGTCCATTTTTCTAGTTGTTTCATTTCTTCAATTGTATTCATTCCTTTCATTATTCTTATTCTTTCTTCTTCCTCTCTTCTCTTCTTTTCTTCTTCTTTTCTCTTCTTCCTCTCTAAATAATCACTGTATTGTGTAAACCATTCTTCTTTATTTTTATTAAATTTTGTTTTAATATTGTTAATTTCTTCTTCTAATGGTTTAGTTTTTTCTTTCATATCCATTTCTTCCATATGAATGATTTTATTGATTAGTTCATCCTTAGCTTTATTAACTATTTCTGAATCATTATTACATTCTTCTATTATTTTATTCATTTGAATCTTAATTGAATCTATTTTATTAATTGTTTCTTGACTTTTTTCTATTACTATTCTTCTTCTTCTAATTATTTCATCTATTCTATCAAATATTCCTTCTCCTCTTTTAATTGCTTGTTCATATGTCTCATTATCTTGTTTCTCAAATATTTCATTTTTAATACATCCTAAATAATATTGATATTGTTTAGTAGTATCATCAATTGATTGATAAATATTTGGAAGTGTTTCTACTAATTCTTTAATTAAATGATTATTCATCACTGATTCCATTTTAATTTAATGAATATCAGATTAAAATCAGATGATTAAATACACATTTATAACAAATCATTTATTTATTTATTTTACAACATTATAACAAATATCACTTTTATATTTTAAATAACAAAATAAAAACAAGAAATAGAATATAATAAAAATAATAAATAATAAAACATCTCATCATAATTAATGATAATATCACAAAATAATGATATAAAAGAAAGTGAGAAATGAAATACAGATAGTCATAAAAAACTAGTTAATTAAGTGTCAGTACTTTTATTTTATATTGTTCATTGCTCACCATTGAATAATTACATTTCCTGTTTTAAGAATGAACACTTATCAACTATTCACTTATTATTTAGATTTTTCTTGTTGTTGAGAAGTGTGAATTTCTGTTCTTCATTCTTTTATTAAGACTAAATTAATAGTTTTCAAATATCCTTATCTTAATTATTCATCATTTAACTAATTGTCTTATCTTTATTTGAATTTTAACGTGCATTAATACCCTTCATTCTTTACTTTCTTATTTATGTTGACTATATCATTACCATTGTATTAGTATGAATAATTTCATTTAATGTCAACAGCAATTAGATCAATTTTCATTGATAATACATTATATTCAATTCTATCCATTCATTGTTAAATATACTTGTAAGATAATGAGTAATTAATATTACCATTTTTATAAATACTCTTCTACTATAATTAATAATATTCCATCAACACAAATAATAATCGTTCTCATTCTTGTAGCATTAATTAAGATGTTTTCCAGTTGATGATAATATCATAATCACACTATAAATGTGATTTAATTTTTTATTTATTTTAATGTTTGTGTGGTGTTTGAGATCCCATCTTCAAATACCCATTATAATACAGAATAATAATATTAAATATTATAAAATTAATGGTTATTTTCATTTCTAGTTGTTGTATTTTTTTTGGTAGTTGTAAATAAAAGAAAAGAGTAAAAAAGAAAGAAGATGAACAAAAAGCAATAGTGAATTCCGTTCATCATAGTTTTATTTCTACTCCAATTTAATTTATATTTCATGTACTTTTATTTTGTTTTTATTCATTGAATTCTTTTATATTTATTAAAAACTTTATTTTATTCTTCTTTCATTCTCTTTTAAATTTTCTTCACATCAACAAAATACTCACCATCAAATGTGTTAATTAATGTTAGTCTTAAACACTTATAAAAACATCCATCTCAAATTGATTTAACTTCTTGTGGTATTATGTTCTATATCTCTCTCTTTCTTCTTCTGTACATATGTGTTTTTATATTCACTTACTTTTTCTTTTAAATATGTTGAATATTCTAATGTACACCACATTACATGTTTCATCATATTTATTATAAATATGAAATGTTTTAATATTATGAAATAATTTTCTTGAATAATAATTTAAAGGAATTGGATTAAAATGAAATTGTTCCATATTTCCTCTAAATCTTTTAATTCCAATTTCTAAATTAATAAAACCATTAATGTCATTAAAACACTTTGATATTATCATCATTTCATTATATCATATTTTCATTCTTGATTGATTATTTGTTGTTGTTGTATTTTTAATTCTTATTTTATTTGAACTTAAAATATTTTTAAGATTATTATTCTATTTTCTTCTATTTCTATTTTAAGTTTGATCTAAAAATCAATTATTAGATTTTAATTATTGAGGAAATATTCTAAAAATAATAAAATTGAACTAGAAAATAAAAATTGAATGATTAATAAGATGGTAAATCAAATTATAAAAAGAGAAATGAAACACATTGGAATGATTTATTGAATGAGTACAACTTCACGTTAATGATATGAATGACATTCAAAACACTGAAATGATTAATAGTAAGTGTGAAATGCAATTTATCATTAAAAATAATCTAAAGTTACATCACAAAGGGATGGAGTATGTTTTTACAATATTCAATCAATTGGGATGTAACTGTGATTCATTTGTGTTGATGAAAAGAATAAAGAATAGTAAGAAGATAAGAAATTAGAAATTAGAATGAATTTAAAGAGATAATGATGAATAATGAGACATTTTGATTGATCAAGAAACAAGAATTGAAAATATAATTGAATATAATAAAATAAGGAGATAAATAATTGTATTTAAGTACTGAATGACTATAATTTAATTGAAATATAAAACAAAGAATAAATGATAAATAGAGAATAAAATAAAATATTAAATAAATATGATGAATGATTTCAAATAAAATAAAATCATAATCATTCAAATAGAAACATGAGAATAAGAAATGATAATAATATAAAACAAGAAATGATAAATATACAAAATAATATAAATACAATAATAAGAATAAAATACATATATATAAATAAGAAATAAACAAATAAATGAAAAGATAAACATAAAAAGAAAATTAATAAATTAAAATTAAATAGATTAAATTCATAAATATTAATATAAACAAATATGATAACTATATATACACAATTGATTTAACAAAACTAGAAATGAATAAAACAATTGAAATAACAAGTTTGATAAATAATAAATAAGAAATGATAAGAATAAATAAAAGAAAAAAAAATGATAAAATAAACACAAAGAAATAAATAATAATGATAAAAACAAAATAAACATATAAAAGAATAAAATGACTAGAATTTAATCTATTTAATGAATAAGAATTAATAATAAAATCAAATGAATATGTCAATATTGTATTTTGATTATTTTATTGATTTTATTATTAATTCTTTTCATTTATTGTTTATTCTTGTTATTTATTATCTTTTATTCTTTTTACTTATATTCTAACTATTTTTAAGTATTAACAATTCATTGTTTTTGTGTTTATTTGTTTATATCTATTGTAAATAATATCATTTTTCTTTAATTTAAAAAATAGCAACAGGTTTATTTTGTTTACATATCGCCTATTAACTTAACTTGGTATTTTATCTTGTTAAATTTTAAATAAAAATTTTGCAGGTAACAACATAATCACTTCTTGTTTATCCTCTCTTATTTTCTACTCTCTATTGTTTTATATCATTTCTTTTTCTTATTGTTTATTTATTTTGTTTTTATTATATTATGATATGATTATGCTGATATTAATCTCTCCAAAGAAATAAACAATAAAATAATTATATTGACATTGATTATTTCCTTTTTATTTCTTTTATTATCTTTCTTTAACAATAATTATATATTAATTATTATTTCATTCTTGATTATTTTTCATTAAATTATTTCTTCCTATTTTTATATTCTTCGATATTCATTATTATTTTTATTAAATTGTGTTATTTTCCTGATTTTATTCAATTACTCTTGATGTACTCCTGTTGGTTAAAGTACTTCAATATAAATTTATTTTTTATTTCTTTCTTTACAGTTATTATCTTATCCTTCTAGACATTGTTCTTCCTCCTTCTGTTTCTATTATTCTTTCTATTACTCTGTTCATTTATTTTCTTATTTCTTGTTTACTCTTTTGTCTATTTTCTTCCTTTTTATCACTCTATTCTCCATTTTTATATATTTTTATCTTATTATTGGTCCATCTATTCATTCTTTATGTTTTATACGTTAGTGTTCTTTTATTTTATTTCTTATTACTCTAATATATCTTTCTGTATTATCTTTCTATACTATTTTACATACACTCAACCATTTCCTTATTTCTTTATTAACTTTTTCTATTTGTATTCATTTAATTTGATTCTTTTTCTTCCTTTTTTCTTTACTTTTACTTTCTGTATTCCTTTGTTTGTTTATTTCTTTATTTTCTTCTTTTTATTCTTCTTGTATCTGTTCTTTCTTTTTCTTACAACTTCAATTTTCTACTTCTTCATTATTTCTTTCCTCCTCTTTATTCTTTCTCTTCTTTATTTATTTACCCTTTTCAACGCCTTTTTATATTCTTTATTAATCTTACTTCATTTTACAATTTCTACTTTTATTTCTTCTTTTCTCTACTAATTTAGTATTTCTATTCTTCTTATATTGAATTCTTCTATTTTCTTTATTCAATTCTACAAACTTTGTATTTTAATGCTATTTCATTCACCAACTTTTGATTTCTTTAATTGATGGTTTTTCTGTTCTTTTTATGTCTTAATACTCTTCATCTTTTATTTTTGTTTGTTTTCTAAATTTTTTTGATTTAAAATAGACAACTAGAATTTAATTTAAATAACATGATTGATTAGATATGATACAAAAATAACAAAAGTAACTTTAAACAAATTAAAAGAAAAAATACAATAATCAATGTTTATAATATTTCATAAGTGATTAACATATTGAATACATCAATAACTAATAAATGTAAATTAATAATAGAAAATAATAGAAAAGTGAATAACGTAAATAAAGAATAAAAAAATAACATAACCAGAGAAATAAACGATAATAGGAGAAGTAACAAGATAAATACATCAATAAAATATAAATAATATAAAATAACAACAACAACTAATTAGAATGAAAATAAAATAAAACACCATCCAATTTAGAATGTAAAGAATAAACTAACAACACAAACAATTAAATAAAACAAAATTAACAAACCAATAAACACACACAAAAATAAATTAACAATAAAGAAGTAATGAAATTAAGATATATAAAGAATAATAAATAATATAATTTATGAATATCATATTATTATAATTCAAATAACATCATATTATCTCTCATTTATTTAATAATAATTATTTTATTCATTTCATTTTATTTTCATTTTATGATTTATCATCATTTTTTATTCATAATGTTAAAAATAATAATAAGAACAACTCAATGTTTAAAAATGAAAGAGAAATAATTTATTTATTGAATATCATTTATTAAATATTCTTATTATTTATCAAATTATATCATTGATATTTCATTCATTTATTCTAATAATAGTTAATCGTTATTAATTAACAAAATGATACAAGAAAATTGAATCAATAATATTATAATTTATAAAATTATGTATAAAATGTTGATAATAAATGAAATATATATTATATTTGTTTTATTTAAAAATATATTTAATTTGATATTTGATATAATTATAATTGAATTAATGGAAATATATGATATAGTTGATAGAATATTATATAAAAAGAATGTACAAAATAAATTAATTAATAATTTGTTTATAATAATAAATTGATCAAATTAGATGAAAAATATTTATTAAAATTAATTAAACATTTCAATAACATTATAAGAAAACAATTCAATGAAATTAATATAAAACAGATGATTTGTATTGTTATAACAAAGAAATAATAATATAAATAACATTTTTTATGAAAAACAAATAAAAATGGATATTGATAGAAATGAATAAATATACAAATCAAATATATCAAATATATTTCATGATACCTCAATAATATACTCAAGAAGAAATATAAATGAAATAAAAAAGAATAAAATAAGTAACATAAATGAAATATTACAAAAAAAACAGAATTATATAAGACATCATTCACAAACAATGGTGTATATTTCTACTCTAATCAAACTCTTATATTAATCATAAAGACTTCAAAAAGAAGATGATTTAATTTAAATAGATGAAAATTTAAAATAATACCATCAAATTGAAAAGGATAACAATTAAAAGAAGAAATAAATAATAAGTAAAAAAAAATCAATGAACAAAATTCAAAGTAAGATGGTTTGATAATGCATACCATATTGCATAAATGATTTTATTAGTTGAATTAGTTTCTTTGATTAAATTAACAAGTGTTTTAATATTTTCTTTCTTTTCTATATCTTCTTCATTTAAATATAAGTTGTAACAAATTACACAAGTATCTTCAAGTATTTGATTTTCTGTTTTGTATAATGTAATAGATT